GCAGCCGGTTGTTGACCGCACTCCGAGATTGGCTAACACCCAGTAGTATATACATATACATCTGTGTGTGTGTATAGAGTAGCGCCTTGGCGTCTGGAAACGAAAGCAAAAGGATGATAACTGCCTGGAGGGGATTCCCCTCTCTGGAGCACAACTACAACTACAACTACAGCAACAAATACAAAAAATAAAGAAACAAGTTCCCCGAGAGCAACCGATAAACGAAAATTTCACTTTTCCTTGGCTGATTTTTTTTTTGGCTTTGCTTATTTTTAGACAAAATTCAATTTGAAAACCAGAAAAAGCGTGGCTAATTAACGCAAGTGTATCATAAATTACACAAAATAAATAATACGAAAAAAATATAATGGTACCATTCAAGTGTTAACACAGCTCGATTTCAATCGATTTCCAACTGCAGCTAATTATCCTCGCAGGAAATCGACCAGCCCCTCTCCAGAAGATAATCTCAATTTGATTGGCTTTGGCTCTGGAATTAGTCACAGAATTATTAGCCAGGCTGAAATCGAATTAACCGAAAATGTGCCAGCAGCAGCAGGCAATCATCAAAAATAAAGCCGAGCCAGAGCAACAAACAAAACAAAAAAATGTGGCAAGGAGAGTAAAAGCTGACTGACTTCAAGTCGAATACTGAGATACCCTCGAAAGAAAGGTAAATTATTATTATTTATTAGTTAATTATAATAAATCATGAGTATAGCTGAAGAGATTATTTATAAGAGAAATGTAAATATTTTGAATTAAGAAAGTATCAAACGGTTATCAGATACTAGTTTTGAGATAAAAGCTTTTTTATTTTATGGATTTAAATATATTTATAAATTTCAGTTTATATATGAAACTAAACAAGGCATTAAATTCTCCCTGTTTACATTAAGTCTACAGCATCTATAATTTGTTTTCAGTTCAATATCAAAATATCAAAATATCAAAATATCAAAATATCAAAATATCAAAATATCAAAATATCAAAATATCAAAATATCAAAATATCAAAAAATCAATATCAAAATAGAAACCCCTAAATACTAATTTAACCTCATAAATATTAAATTGTAAATAAATAATTTACCTAACCCTATGCACAGTTCCCACATTTTATTCAATGATGAATGATACCCTCTAAAACTGTCTAGAATACCCAATTTTCCAGCAGGATATCGCATATAATGCAAGAAATATTATTAGGCTCTTTGCGATTGCCATGCCATAATGAACGCCTGTGAGTGAGTGTGTGCAATGCCGAAACAAAATACAATTTTATGCGGTTTTATTATTACCCATTTCTGTTTCAGATTCTACGCCACTCACGCCAGTCGGCATAGATATGGATATGGGGATATGGATACCGACTCCAAGTCTAGCCCGTTCATTTATCACGAACTGCACGTTGCACATAAACGCATTACAAAACCCAAAATAAAATAAAAACGAACCAAGACTCGCACTCATCCAGGCGGCCAGGCGGAGTTGTAATTATCGCAGCAAGTCGTATAATCGGAGTCAGACCAAAAAGGGTTGTATAACTTAGTCAAATCGCAGCAAATGATACACCAAGAGTCTTGAGTCTTTTTCTTTCCGCGGAGAAAGCCATCAATGCGTGCTCATGCGCAGATTGGTTATTTCAAGCTGATATTCCATTGCCCCAAGCATGGAAGATTTTTATATAAATAGCAGAGAGTCTAAAGAGTTACGAGCCAAAAGGTTCTTTAGTTCTTAATATTAAGAGAAGAAGTGGATAATATAATATAGAAATTATGATTTAAATCTTTGGGTTAACTTAAGGAACTTTACCTTAGATTTTGTCAGATGGAAATTAGGATTTATTTTAAGAGGGTGTTATAGAAATCAAAGAGTAAACTATCTTTCAAAAAATGTTCTTGATTTGTTGATTTTTAACAGGTATTAATTGATCAAAGCTATATTTGAAACCTTTGCTTTATTGGCTCCTTGAAATGTCATACATATCATACAAAATCTTTTGAAAACTATGCAGTAAACATTCGTTTCTTGAATGTATTTAAAGGGTCAAACCGGCTATGTGTGGAATATGTAATTTATACATTAAATATTAAATATTCAATGTATAACAAAGAATATATAAAAATATATATATTTAGAACTATAAGAACTTTGTTTTCTCTATTCAAAGTTATTGTAAGTATCTTAAAATCAATTGCAATAATATAAACAATATTAAAATGCAACAAATTAAACAGAAAATTATTATTCTACTCTCAAGTTCATTATATATCCGACTTAGAAAAATAAAGGTATCTAATAGCTTATCAGGTTCTTATTCTTAAGCCCCAAAATTGTTGGCATAAAATTGTAAAATCATTATCTATCTCTCATTGGAATTTAGAACTCACCGCACAGCATATCCCCTGGTCAGCTGCTATAATCACCAAAAGTGATGGATCAACTGATTGATTGATTGATTGATTCCACGCACACACACCAAAACACACAAACAAAACGCACAGTCACAAATTAAAGCACATGCTTGCCGCACTATAGTTTTCCATGTTCAAAAGTAAATTAAAAAAAAAAACAACTATAGATAATAACAACTATTTTGCACTTTTCTCAACTGCAGTTTCGTCTATAAAATATTAATTGTTAAAGTCTCCAAGTCTTTTGTTTGTTTGGAATTCAAGTTTGTGTTTTCTCACAATATTTATTTACTTTTTTTGGTCAAGTCTTTTGTTTTGCTTGCGGTAAACGTCGGTGTTTTTCGAGGAGCGCGGCACGTGCTGAGCGAACAATGGTCGCGGCTTGTTTGAGTCCCCGGTCTGCAGTCTGCAGTCTTCAATCTCCAGTCTTTGGCTCAGCCAGTGAGCAGCAGAGCAGGAGAAAGAGAAAGAGATGGAGTGGCTTTCAGAGAAAGAGAGAGAGAGAGAGCGCGAGAGAGAGGGAGAGGGGTAGAGAGATGTAGACCAGCTTGGCCAGCGGTCGCCAAAGAAATGTAAAAGCCAAAAGCAGCGGACCCCAAAGAAGTGCCGAGCGAGAAAGCTCTTGGCCAGGCCGGGCCTTCTTGCCAGCATACTCTATAAATTATAGGGTATTCTAAGTACTCAATAAAGTGTAAAGCTTTTACTAGTTAGTTGATTAATAATATTAAATTAAATGAAATACAAAATATAAAGATGCTGTTAATAATGAATGGGTTTTCAGGCTTTTCAAAGCATTTAAACCGTGTTTAAGCTTAAGATCGTAGTGAATTTTAGTGCAGCTCTTTCTTGCGTAAGTAAGGGCATCTCCCGCTTCGGCTTCAAGAAGTTCTTAACTGCTATTTGATGTAAACATCACATCTTGCTCGTGTATTGCAAGGCATATAGAGTATGCGTCTCAGTTGTGTTTAGTTGATTTTCGATGCGCTTTTTGCACATTTACTAGACTTTTTCTAGCTCGATGGAATTTTTTTCTTCATCTTCACTTGTTTGCCGACGCCGCCACTGTTGCCCGTTTGCTGTGTTAGGTATAATTTTATTCAATAGAATTTATGCTTTTTTATGGTCAAGCTGGCGGCGCGTCATGCGCGGAAACCTCATCGCTAACGGTTGTTTATGGCCAGTTTAAGGTGTTTTTTTTTTACATTTTTTTATTTTTTCTTTCTGCATAATTGTTTCCAAGTCGTTCGTTGCTCTCGCTCTCTCGTAGCTCATTTAAATGCAATCAATCAAAGACTTATGGCTAATTAGCCATCGATGGACAATGCAATTTAATAGAATTATCAAGACACTTCGTTGGCAATCAACGCTAATGAAGCCGCATCGCTTGGCGTTACGATTTACGATTTACGATGTGTTTACTTTGTCCCCGGTCCATCTGTCCGTCTTGGCCAATTCCAGGTTCAAGCCGAGAGTTCATTGAGTGCATCGAATGGCAATCGATAGAAATTAAATCGCTTGATTATGTGCCAACATTGCATGAACTCTCTCGCTCCAAATTGCCACAAAATGTTAATTATCAATGATTTCTCAATGGCTTTATTTTCAATTTTGTACAATTGATTTCAAGGCATTTCCCCAGGGGTTCATCTCTCTACCATACTTTACGAATTATTTTATATTAATTTTTTTAATTGAGTAACGAATTTCTCAAATCCCATGTTTCCTAAGCGAAGCATTGAAATTTCTTTAATTTTAATTTGTTGTTTTATGAAATTTCTTAATATTTTAATTGAATATATTCACTAACCCATATATGATTCCTTTACTGAGTTTCAAGCTTTTGACTAAAATTATAAGTTGATATTTATCAATAATTCTATATGACCATTTTTATTGACTAATCAACGTTTAAAATTCCCATAACTCAGCCAAAATTTCACTTATTTTGATTCGGAAAACGGTCCTATGTTAGTTTTTTGTAGCTTAATAAATCTGCATACTCAATTTTAAATGTAAAAGAAATTAATTTTTTGTTGAATTTTTTTTTTCAATTTTAACGATGTAACCCCTTTAAAAATATCGGAAAAAATTATAATCATTTTTAATCATCCTAAGTTAGATAGATCGATTTGGCTGTTGATGCTGATCAATAATATATATATTTTATAGGGTCGGAAATGACTCCTTCAGTACGTTGTGAGCTTTTAAATAAAATTATGATACACTACAAAGGGTATAATAAATATATAAAACAGCCTAATAAGATATTATATATATCTTTAAATTAAAGCATAGATGGACATTAAATCTCAGGTCCGTAGCTAATTTACTAATTTAATTTTTTAATAAACCAAGCAGGACGTGCGAAAATAGATTATCCTAATCCTTAGAGATACGTACTTTCCCGAAAAACTGTCAAGAACTTTGAATTTGCAAGCTCCCTTGTTAAAACTAATGTAAATAATTAAAGTAAAAGTATACTAGGACTTGATCCCTATACTTATTTTTAATAAACTTTCCTATTTAATTACTGTTTATATCTATTATTAAACTTGTTATAAAGCTCCTTGAGCATCAACTCACCTAATGGCCGCTGGCTGATGATGGTTGGACAGCATCCTCATGCTGCCTCCGAATCTGTGGTGCAATTGCTGCTGCTGTTGCTGGTGCGGATCAAAGTCCGAGTCGGCGGAAAAACCATTCGCTTCCACATTCATATTCCGGCTGATCTGACTGATGCGACTCATCCGGCTGGCGTGCGATCCCCGCTCCGAGTTGCACTTGGAGCCGCACAGCGAGTTCTCGCAGAAGCGACAGCATTTGTTGTAGCTGAACGTGGAGGTGCATAAAGTGCAAAAGGAGTCCAACTGCGACTCGGCCGGGTCGTCGTCGTCCTCCATATCTTGGTCCCGATCCTCCCGCTCGGCGGCCATGTCCATCTCACGCTCGTGATCGTGACGATGTCGCAGCTTTAGGGTTCGATTGTGACTACTCTGATCCTCGTCGGAGCAAAAGTACTCGGTCTCCTCTGCCTCCTCCTCTTCCTCCTCGTCATCCTCTCCGAGGCTGCTGCCGGCACTGCCCTCGTTGCCGCGTCCCCCGTTCTGAGAAGCCCCAAAGCTGCTCAGCGGACAGGAGGGATAGCGGGTGAGCGGAAAGGGACGGACACTGTACTTGCTGGCCATGGAGAGGTTCTCGTTGAAGTAGATCACATTGGGCACCTGGCCGGCGCCAAGAGCAGCTCCCGTGCCCGGTGCCGCCCGCTCTCGCTCTCGATCCCGCTCACGATCACGCTCCCGGTCCAATTCGCGATCCCTGCTAATGCTAAGATCATGGTACTTACGCAGGAAGGCTGCATTGCAGTCGGCGGCGGTGTATTCGTGCAATTTCTTGGGTTTCTGGGCGGGCGGCGTCACATGATGGCCGTGTTGTGTGTGATGGTGGCTATTGCTGTGACTTCCATTGTTGTGGCCGTTGTTATTGTTGTTATTATTGCCGCCGGAGCGCAGCAGGTCAAAGAGGCGCTGCTTCAGGTCGCGCATAACGACATGGGGCAGAGCAAATCACTAAATTCTGCAATAAAACAATGAGTGACATTTTAAAAATTTTACTTTGCAACTGGTTTGAGTCAAAGCTAAAAGTCAGCGGGGTTCACCACCCCATTTGGAGATTTAGCTCGAGAGCGGAGTTTCCAACCCCTCACAAGCCTCATGCTTTGGTGATGGTAATATTTAGCACATTTTCTACTATGCAGCACAGTCACACTAGCTCTGCATTGTAAATTACGAATCGCAAAAACATATTTTTGTCTGTGATCAAATTAGCCTAGTTAAAACAGGTAAATGCAACTAAACATGTAAATAACCTAGAGCCTAGCGTCCAAGCTAACCGCTAATCTGTTACAGAACCCAGCTAGTACAAAGATGAGCAGCCAGCGCGGCAATGTGAGTCGCACACGTGCACAGAAACACAAAAATCGGTTCGTCTTCAAGAACGATCTGCATGACAAGACGCCGCAGCAGATCCGTCTAAATGCCATGCACGTGTCCACCGTGTGCCAGCGGTGCAAGGAACAGATCGAGTGGAAGATCAAATACAAGAAGTACAAGCCGCTGACCCAGGCCAAGACCTGTGCCCACTGCCACCAGCGGACTGTGCGCAAGGCGTACCATGTCATCTGCAAGGAGTGCGCCGTCAAGGCCAAGTGTTGCGCCAAGTGCCTCAAGTCCGCCGACGAGGTGTCCATCGAAGCACCTGGACCAACGCCCCGCGAGGAGCAACAGCTGCAGGTTGAGATGGATCGCCTGATCAAGTCCTTTTCGGAACGCAAGCGCCGTGCCTTCCTGCGCTACATGCAGAAGGGCAAGAAGCAGGCGCCCGCCGAGCAGGACGAACAGGAACTGGAGGCTGAGGAGAAGGCCAAGCGGGTGGCACACACGCGTGACGAGCTGCTAGACAAGATCAAGCAACTGAATCTGGCCGAGGAGGACGATGAGGACTTTGACGACGACGATGAGGATGAGGACTCGGAGTTCGATTCCGAGGCAGAAGAGGAGGAGGAAGATGAGAGCGACGAAGAGGAGGAGAAGACACAGAAGAAACCCACCAAGGCGAAATAAACATTTAATACAGCACCTTGTCTCTACCTCTCTGTGGTGAATGTGATAAGGCCAAGGAGCTGGCTGTGAGCTTGTTTTAGAGGAGGAGGAGCAGGTGGAGAGCAAAGAGTACACTCCAGTTGTGTATTAAGGAAAATATGGAGCTCCTAAACACTGAATACAACGAGGAACCCAATAATGAAGATGTTCTTGGATTGGATTTGCAGTAGCCGGAAATCAAAAGTACAGAAACCTTTTTTTTATAAATCTTAAAAAATACACAAAAATATAATATTTTTGTACTTAAAAACTTAATGTTTAATCTTTAGCAGCGAAAATGAGGGAGATAGCATGTTCTCTTAATTTCAAAATCTAGCAAAAATATTCTAAAGCTTTAACGACTTAAAGTTCCACTGAAAGCATTGCATAGTTTCGTGGTTTTCAAAGCTAATTATTTCAAAATAAGCGGAAATATAAGGTTTTAATATGGCGAAATAGAAAATATAAGAACTATAATGATATATTGACATGAACAGTAAATGATAGTTAAGACCTAGGAAAATAACTTAAATCAGTCGAGAACACTACTAGGTTTTTAAAAAATTCAAAATTTTAAAATTAAATAACCTGAAATATTTAACACATTTCAGGGTTTGAATATAAGCTAAAAGTAGTCTCGAAAAATCTCTCCAATTGCCTTGGCCAAGTCTCCCACTTTTAGTGTATGCCGTTTTTCAGTACATTTAAGTTTGACAAGTCGAAATTCTGTGTGGTCACTCTGGTCGTAACAAGCGGTTGGAAAACTTCGCCAAGTTCCGGAAAATAATTGAAAATCCGTTGGTGCGTGATGGCAGACAGCGGGGCTGGAGCTGGAGCTGGTAGGGGTCGACGCCGGCGCAACAAAAAGAACGCGGTTCCCGTGCCCACAGAGCCCAATGGCGAGCAGCACGTGAATCCGCCGATGGCCGAAGAAAATGGTAAGCCGAAAGCCGCAAAGGGTGACGCCGGACAGCCGCTCGGCAGGCAGGAGGTGAGAGCACTACGCCAAATCGTCACCGATTTCGTGTATAGCGGGGAACAGGTGAAGCAGCTTCATGGTCTGTCCAAAGCAGAGCGCATCCAAGTCCACCGCATAGCCCTGTCCATGGGTCTGAAGACGGTCAGCAAGGGACCGGACTATGCACGCGTACTCACTATGACGATTCCTCCGCAATCTGTCCGTGATAACCACGAAGATCTGGCACGGGCTTACCTTTTGATCAGTCCCCAGACGATTGAGATACTTAAGCAGGCGCAGCCGCAGTTGGATAGTCTGCTGGCTGGTGAAATGCGAACGTTCCGCCGCGACCACGAATGGCACCTCACCAGCATTTATAGCCGGCCCAGCAACTATGGGCTGGTTGGCCAGAAGCTTGTGCCACCGGAGCCGAGCAACCGTAACCGATTGATTGCACAGGATCGTCAGAACTTGCCAATATATGGACATCGATCGAAGATTCTCAGCGTAATGGAACGCGAGCAGGTAAAAAAAATAATAGCTTTGATGGCTCATTTTATAATTCCTAGCAATAACTTGCAACATTGACATTGACATACAAGAAACGTTGCAAAGTTGTCAAATTGGACAACTGACATGCTTATGTATGTGTATAAAGATTAAGTAGGATATCAGCAACATGAACTTAACTTATAGCTTCACTAAAAGAATATTAGATTATTCAAGTTTTTTATATATCCAATTAACTTTCCTACTGGTTATTTCAATGAAACAAGATCAAACTATCCCATGTTCCACTACTGCCACTTATGTATAAATTCCCTTGCACAGGTTTTGATTATCCAAGGAGCCACCGGCTCGGGCAAATCCACCCAGGTGCCCCAGTACATTCTCGAATGGGCCGCTAAGCATCGTACTCCTGTAAGGATCGTGATCAGTCAGCCGCGTCGCATGGCGGCTATATGCGTTTCCGAGCGCATTGCCAAGGAGCGCGGCGAGACACCGGGCGCCACAGTGGGCTACCAGATCCGCATGAACAGTGAGTAACCAACCAAGCTCATCATCATCAGGCATTGTTATTTACTCTCTCCCTCGCTCTCTGTAATCACCATCAGAGAAATGCAGCAGGAACACTGTTCTCTCGCTGACCACCAGCGGATGTCTGTTGCGCGCCATTGCCATGGCGGGTAAGGCTCTCTTAAAGAACACCACTCATTTGATTATCGACGAGGTGCACGAGCGAGACTTGGATACGGATTTTTTACTGCTCGCTACCAAGCTAGAGTTGGAAAATAATCCCCATCTCCGGCTGGTGCTCATGTCAGCCACAATGGATCTGGAAGCATTGTCCGCTTACTTTGGCAGGGCCACCGTTTTGAGTGTGGAGGGACGCAGCTTCGGCGTAAGGATCTGGCACATGGAGGAGATCCTTCATGTGACTGGCTATATGAACTGGAAGATGGAGGATTACTTTGGTGAGATTACGGGCAAAGAAGATGCCGCTGAACTGCTGGCCGCCTACAACTACAATCGCAACGAGGCAGATCCCGATATTGACAATAATCTGATAGTCTCCCTGCTGGAGCTGCTGATGCGTTCGGGGGAGAAGGGAGCGGTGATTGTGTTCCTTCCTGGCTACTATGACATTATCATGCTGATGGATCGCATGGAAATTTGCCTGCCCAAGGAGAAGATGAAGATATTGCTGCTGCACAGCCAGGTTGAGAGCAACGAGATGCGCAAGGCCTTCCATATCTATCCCGAGCAACTGAAGGTGATACTGAGTACGAACATAAGTCAGACATCGATCACTATTCCCGACTTGCTCTACGTAATCGATGCGGGTCGCGCCAAGATGAATACCCACGATGCCGCCTCGGATGCCTCACAGTTGTGCACGACGTGGATCTCGAAGGCGGATGCCCAGCAGCGGGCGGGCCGAGCGGGTCGCTTGTGCCACGGCATTTGCTATCGCCTCTACTGCAGTGAACGTTTCTCCAACATGAGTGACTATCCGATTCCCGAGATCAGGCGTCGCACGCTCGACGAAATCTGCCTGATGACCAAGATAGCCGCTCCAGAGGAGAAGATTGCCAAATATTTGTCCATGGCCCTGGATCCGCCACAGCCGGAGGCCGTCGTGCAGGCTTGTTCTCGACTCCAGATCCTGGGTGTCCTTAATGAATCTGACGAACAGATTACAACACTCGGCCGCATCATTGCCGAACTACCGCTGAACGTTCAGCTAGGCAAGTGCCTGATTTATTCCCTGTATTTTAGTTGCTTTGGGAGCGTGGCAATTGTTGCCGCCTATCACTCGGTAAGGGATCCTTTCGTGCTGCCCTCGGATCGCAACAAGAAGCCAACCTCGCAGAACTCTCGCACCCTGTTTGCCGGCACCACTTTGAGCGATTCACTGGCCGTTTTGAAGCTCTACGCGGACTTTACTAGCTCGAGCCGCAAGGATTTGGACACCTTTTGCGAGAAGAATTTTTTGTGCCGTGCCTCCATGGAGATGTTTGTCTCGTCGGTGAGTACGTTGCGCGATGTGATACGCCGTATTTTCCAACTCACCATGGCCACCGAAACATTGGCCTGCTGCTTTGACGACGACATGGATATGGTACGTTTGGCCCTCACTGCCGGCCTCTATCCGAAGGTGGTGTTCGTGGACAAAGACAGGAAGTGCCAGCTGGTGGGCGACGGTGATAGTTGCATGCATTTGTCGCGCAACTCCTGTCTGCTGGGCAAAAATAAGCTACTGTCCGTGCCCAACGAATGGATATTGTATGTGGAGAAAGTTCGCAACGCTGACCACCGCTGCATCGTGGAGAACACAACACTGGTGAGCAGCCTGATGGTGGCTCTGGTTGGCGGCAAGAACGTTCGACTGGAGCAACGTAACTCCAAGACCTCAAAGCTATGCCTGGACGACTGGGTCCGTCTCAATTGCTCCACTGAGTTAGGACAGCAGCTGCTGCGTCTGCGTGAGCTGATGGGGCGTGAGGTGACCGAATTGGTGGAGACGCGCAAGTTGAACAACGCGGGCCAGTGGTTCGGTCGGGAATTGGTCCATAAACTAATGGAGTCGATGGCAAAGGACCCTCCCAACGAGTTCGTCAACTGTGATAATGCTTAGGCGGAGTCAAGAGCGGGAAGGAAGAGCGAAGATCGGAGATCGAAGATCTCTGAGCCAAGAAGAGGCTTATCGTACTATTCCAAATATTACACAAACACACTATTTCCTCTTTTTTGCCACAAATAAGGTACAGTGCGTTTCAAAAGCCCAAGACGACAGACGGACAGCAGACTATCGTACCTGATCATAAGACATAGCTACATTTACTTAGCTTGATGGTTTATATATTATACATTTTCCCAGCACCTTCATACCTTTTTCCTAAGATTAGGTTTAAGCTGTGGATGAGACACTTAGCCTCGACTTTTTCTTGGCGTTTCAACACCTTAAAATATTAAAACACAAATTATTGAAAAAGGCTGTAAATTGAACAATGATTATCTCGAATTTTGTGATATATATATATATATTGTAGGAGAAGGCACTACCATTACATTGACACCTTAGTATACATTAAAGCTCCTCTTATTTTATATTACAAATGGTATTAACTGATACGAATAGTATAGATATGTATATATATAGCACATTTTTAGCTTTGAAACGCACTGTAGGCTGGCTTTAGCAACACTGGAAACACACAGGGAAAACTACAGATGAAACAAAGAAGTAAAAAAGACACAAACCATAACCAAAAATATTAATTTCATTTCGAGAGTGCAATTACGACCACTCCCTAATTGCTGGGTGAAAATATGTGTGCCACGAGACGCGGCACGGTGTCGGTGTCGGTGTCAAAGTCAGGCTGCAGGTTGCAAGTAGCAAGTAGGCAAGTTGCAGGTTGCAAAGTTGCCGCCCTGCGGTGCATTGGGCCATGGCAAGCATCAAAAGCTGACGTTTATGCTCCACTGCCACCTGTCCCACCTGCCTTGGCAGCCCCACCTGCCGCCTCCCACTGTCCATTCAGGCGCAAACAAGAGTGGAGGAGAAAAAAACTAAAAAAAACTATGGTTAATTGCACAGACAACGCAGTCAATAAACCTGAAGTCGGGCTTGTCGCTGCAGCAGCAACAATGGCAACATACAACATGAAAAAAAGAGTAAAATATATAAAGAAAGAGACACCAGGTGAAGCAAAAAAATAAGAAAAAAAAGATAGCAACAAAAGACAGGGGCAGCTTACTGCAAAGAAAGTGAAATTAATTTGTTATTTTTCGGTTTATTGTGGCTCTTTGAGCGATGTCTTTGAAGGTTGGGTGAGAGCATTGCCAATCGCTGGCCCTAACCGAGAGGAAATTGCTCTAGAAAATTAATTGAATGACATTCCTTAGGGTCTATTCAATATCTCTTCCGATGAATATATATATTTATCTACAATTAAGTATATTTAAATAAATAGTTTAATTAAGATTAAGTGGAATATGTCGCCTGTGTAACATTGTAGACTGTCTTTACCAAAATTGTATATAAGTGTCACAGACACGCTTTTAAATTATGCTTTTTAAGAATTTTAACTAAAGAATTTTGCACAAATTTAAATATTCTTGTAAGTTTTAAAGAAAGTTTAAATAATTTCAGACTAAAATTTTAAATTTTTAAATTTACTTGTTTTTCAAAAACATAATAGAAAAAGTAAAAAAAAATAATTATTAAATACTTAGAAATGTTAATGAGAGTCTAGAAACAGATTTTTTACCACTCCGTTGTTAAGAATTTTTTATTTATTGAAAATTGTAAAAAAAAATTAAAAATTTGTCTATTTCTTGCACAATTATAAATGCAAATCAAAAGACTTTATTTAAGAGTTTAGCCATTTAAAGTTTAGACCTTAAAGATGAGTATATATATAGTTTTAAAAATAATTAAATAAATGGCAACAAAAGACTTTATTTAAAAGTTTTCCTATACTTCAAAGCTAAGACTTTAAAGATGAATATATAAATATTTTAAATAATAAAATATACGGCTAAATGTGAAGTATTTTTAATGTACCTAAAACTACAACTAGAATTTTTTTCGAAATAAAAGTACATAACATATATTAGATGTTTGAAAATCAATCAGAGTTGTAAATCAATTTCTTTTGCAGATTTCCCGCAGTCTGATGATGAAAAGCACAGAAGTCCGCCAGATGATTTGGCCAATTCTTGCCACCGCAGAAAAAAAAAAAAACGAAAAGAAGAAAACCTGGCAATTGAAGCTGCGGCTATAATAATCTTTTGACTCATCAGTGGGAATTGCGGGAAATCACAGATGCAGTTGCAGTTTTCCATAGATTCTTCCACACTTTTCCGCAATTTGGGCGGCTAACGGAAAATTCCAGAGAAGCAGGAGTAGGAGGAGACGAGCGTATGGCTATGAAAATGCAGCAAATCAATTTTTCCCAGATGACTTGGCGGCGGTGGCCATTGTCAATGAACTCCGGGCAAGCAATTGTAGCGGCTGCAATCTCCTCAGCTATGTGCTCTCGAAATCAAATGAAGTCAAATAGCCCGGACTAATGGATCTACAATAAACCTGGCTAACAAGTGGCCCCCACCCGTGGGGGGGGGAAGCCAGTTGAACGCACTCCGCAGTCGCCATCGATGCCATCAACTATGATTCAAATTGGCCGCGATGCAGACTCCGTTGCTGGCAACCAGCTGGCCAGGTGTCTCTTTGTCATTGTCATCTTGGACCAGCAGGAAGGTGGATATATGTATCTGTATATCTAAGATCTTAGCTAGCTTCAGGAGTAGCTTAGATATATACCGATAAAGATCAAGATTAAGCAGAAATCCATCGCAGTTAGGCGATGAAATGCCAACTAATGACGGGCCCTCTGTCTGATTGATGGTCAGGTTGTAGATATACCTGTCTTTCGCCAGCTAACAGTTACATAATTAACCAAAATTGATTTCGCAAAAACATGCCGCCAGAGCTAAGATGCTCCCAATGAGCTACAAGAGAGCTCCCAGCTCCCAGCTCCCATCTCCCAGCTCCCACTGATCCGTTCCGATCCCCACTGCCTCTGGCTGCATATGACATCATCCAACAACATCATCCATCGGTTCGGCATAATCTTGGACTGCAATAATCCCAGACATTTCGGTGTGGCACGGAATGCGTTTCGGTAATTCCAACTTCAGGGAATGGATCATAAATATGCACATACCGACTGGGTAAGGGATTTGGGTCTGAAATCGCTGAGATCACGCCAGTTGCATTGGGTGAAAGTTTGGTGCCTTTTGGCGGGGTCACGGGTCAAATCAATCAGGCTGGGCGGTGACCCGCTGCTGCTGCTGCGGCATGTGCTGGGTAACTGTCTGTGTGGCACTCGAAAAGTCTCAAAAATATGAAAACCTAACTTCCCCAAGCAACACCTTTCCAAAACAACGCCTAATTATGTCATTAAAACGCTTGTGCTTTTGTGCGTGTGCTTTTTTAATGACGATTTTGTGAGAAGCTGGCCAGCAATTATAATTTAAATATGATCTAACTGAGGTGTTAAAAAATATATATAGTATAATGTTGTCATTATTTGTTATTATTAACGAAAAATCTTTCAATGGAGTGAAAAACGAGGCAAGTTGTCAAGGGAAATCACATTTTGGCAAGTTATTTGTGTGGGAATATAGTGTTTATTTCTTTTATTATTAAAAAGATCTTTTGAATTTGAAGAAAACGCTATCAAAATAAATAATTGAAGCTAAGAATGATAGGGAGAAGTTTTCAAAATGTTTACTTGGTAACAAAACAACTTTTCATTAAAGTTCTTAGTTAGGAAAATGTTCTAATTGACATCCAACATTGTTATGAAATATGTATGCAATTGAATTGAATAATTCTTGATTTTTCCCCTTAATTAATATACCTATTTTTAGCCGAAATTGTCTACGATATTTCCCAATATATATAATAATATTTACCATCGTCTGTCTGGCCAGACTTTATTACAGCTTCCAAATGGGGGGATTATATCGGCGACCCATGACGAACCTAAAACTGTGGTAAAAGTGAAGTCATGTGCGAGTCATTGGGAAGCTAAAAAGTAAAAGCCGAAACGAGAGTGAAGTGATGGCAAAGCATGGCAACAAACAAGCTGATCGTGATTCGCATTTGGCCATGGCCAGTAAACTAACCAGAAACCGGCAACTAACATCCAACAGCAGGAGCCGGAAACTGGCTCAGGTTGTGACCCGATGCGGAAGTTGCTTCGACCGACCAGCCGGTCAATCAATCAATATCTCGGCTATCCGTCATTATTTATGCACGATTCACGTATGTATATTTATGTTGTAACGTCTGCCTTTTGTTTCGTTTTGTCACAACATCATAATGACAAGCCCCAATATTTTGCCATTTCTTTTGCTTTTTTGCAGTCATTAAAGTGCCACAAAAACAGACAACAAAAAAATCGTTTTTTGGCAGTTCCCAAAAACTGATAATCCAAGTTTATTTCTTTATTTATGTAAGCCCGAGGCGCAAAATTGCAACAGCAACGGCGATTACAGCCGGAGGCGTGGCAACAACGGCGCCAATCAGTGGCAACAACAGCGATAACATGGCCAGCAGCAACAAGCAGCATTGGCAACATCTGCAACATCGACAACATAGACAACATCGAAGAGTATGAGACGAAACAACCGTATCGATGAAGAGTGGCATTGAACACTTTACAAAACTAAACTCTTTGCACATGGGAAATGCGTTATAAAAAAGATAAAATTAAATCTTTATATCATACATAATTTATATATTTGTTGGGCTTTATATTTTATAAGCAATAAATGCATTAAATTTAATTTAACTGATTCTTATACATATTTAAGTAAGTAATTTCCTGACTCTCTTCTGGGCTTTATATAGATTTTTCTTAACTAAACAGGGTTCTTCTTTAGTAACATTAAAAACCTCAACTTTTAATGGAGTTCTTAAAATCAAATCTTCAAAAATTTCAAGAGTAATATTTCTTTAAACCCATATAAACATAAAACATACATCTTTCCAATATTTTCTTTACTATTTAATTTAATTTCCCATTCAATTTGTTGTGCTCTTCAATGTATTATTTATTTATCCAAGTGTAAACTTAATAAAATGTACAACTCGAGTCAAGTAAATGCGCAACGACAAACACTCACAACTTGGCCAAGTCAAGAGCCTCTGTCTCTCTCCTGGTCTTGGTCTTGGTCTCGGCCTCCTGGCTGGTCAAGCGCCAATTGAGATGTGACAGGTTGTCTTGGCCAGGCTTTTCCGACTACCTGCAACAAGCACACAGTCCACCTTCTCCAACGATTTTCCTCGGAGGAAAGGTCATACGATTCCATGGCACGAATGGAAAAGCTGGATTAGGCACGTGAGAGGTGAATTGCCTGTCATGATTATGCGATTGTAGCCACGATGTACATATAGCCCCTTTAATCTGCTAAGTTTTAATTTACCCTGTCTGATTATACAATTGTTTTTATTTATATTTATTTTAGTTTTCCTTTTTTTGTACATGTTTGTGTACGTAAAAAATGGGGAAAAAGGCAGGATAAATATGGAATTATAAAGACTACTCCTTAGTGTGCAACGGTTTTACAAATTTGTTTTCTCGAAAAAGACAGACAGTGATGAATGTGGCAAAGCCAAAGAGTTTTAATGGAATATTCTGGGTCAGGGGTGCTACAAGTTTAAGCAACAAACCCAGCGGGCATTTTAATTAAAATGCAAATTAATTTGGGTTCGGGATTAGAGAAAATGTAATAAATATATATTAATACTAGATAACTAGCTAGAAAACTTGATAATAAATGCATTTATGATTCCTTTCCTTTAAAAATTACATCTTAAGTTTAACCCAAACTCTGTTCAAAATTGATCTGTGAAAACTCTGTCAACAATCTTTTGAAAACTTGTGAAAATTATTTAATTATAAGCAAGAAATTCAACTTTTCCCATAGCTTATATGTATATCGAAGAGAGAGAGAAATAACCCAAAATCCTATCATACAGTATTCAGATTTAATGCCTGGTTAAATTGCTTTTCAATCCGATTAACCAGGAATCAAACTTCAGAGACAAGTGTTATATAAATTGTATAATTTCTGATAACTGTTGGTCAGTATACACATATGGTAAAAATCAGTGGCTAATCGCCTTATGTGTGGCATCGAAATGCGTTCGAAAGTTATTGGGAGTTTTTAAGTTTTTTAGTTCGAGTTTTCGAGTTCAAAAACATTTGTTCACCGTCATTGTGCCGAGTTATTGAGGGGGGAGAGACGCTTTGGGGGCTTATTTATTAACGATAGCCCCGAGTTCAGGTTTCACTTTCCAGCCATACAATTACCAGCGTTCCAAACCGATTCGAATAGAGGCGGAGAAGAAACGAAACCCACAAATTTGTTTATAAATGTCGCACAATATTTATTATATATATTTGTTGACGCCGTCATCGATTGTTGCCCGTGGGTCTCTGAGGGAAATTTATGAGGCTTATGACAATTTGGCTTTATGGCAGAGCCGGGCCAAAAGGTGA